CACAAACCGATGGCATGGTGGAGTGGCTGCATAGGACGCTCACATCTATGTTGTGTCACCAGGTGTGTGACTCCCAGACCGATTGGGACCTTCACATTCCGGGGGTTTTGGCCGCCTATAGAATGGCTCCTCACGCGGCAACCGGCTTCTCGCCGTTCTTTTTGATGTACGGTCGCGACGTTGACCCACCAATTGCGAATCAGCTCCGCGTCTCGGAAACCAGCAGAAAATCGAAATTGGCCGACCACGTTAAATTTAATATCCTGAGGTTGACCGAGGCGCGGGAGGCAGCGGCCCAAAACTCTTCCTCTCGGCAGAAGGCCAACGAGAGGTTGCGATCGCGCCAATCACGCACACATGCGTGGAAGCCAGGCGATCAAGCCTGGCTGCACTGCCCTCAGGTGCCGTTGGCGACCTCGGCGAAATTGTTGCGGCCTTGGAGGGGCCCTGTGGTTATTGTGAAGGTTATGCGGCCGCAGTGCGTTCGTATCCAGTGGGGGAAACGCCGCTGGTACGTACACCCCTCGCGTCTGAAGCCGTTTGTGGCGCCGCGCGTCCCTCCACCACATTACACAGGCCGAGCATGTGATGTCTCCGCTGACTCCCGGACGGCGTCTTCGTCACCTGCCCTTGATGCTTCGCTAACTGTTCCACCTTCAGGCGCCTCAAGAATGACGGCTTCCAGCGCGCCTGCGCCACCCGGTGGGGACGGAGTTTGCCCTTCCGGGGTGACGGAAGACGGTGCACCTGCACAGCCGGTGCCCACTGCCGGGCCGACCGGACCCTCCCCCTACGATGGACCCGCAAATCGGACTCGCGCCAAAATGCGCCGCTTGTTGTAAAAATGGTTCTTGTTACTCTTGTTGTTCACTGTTAAGTTTTCTTGCTGCGTTGATGGGGGGGGGGGGGGGGGGGGGGGGGTACAATGTATATGTGTATATAGTGTAATTTTGTATAGGTGGGTTGGGTTATTTATTGGGGTGTTCGTTCTTATGAGGCACGCACGGGTGGGGGTTTGTTGTGTTTATTGTTCGAGTATTGTTGCAGCCGGGACGGCTGCGGGTTACACGGGAGGGGGTGATGTAGGGGTGCTATGGGGAATAAACACATGGCACGGGAAGGTGTGGTTCACCCACACCTTGGTGGCTACAACAACGTCCGCTAAGGCTCCAGTGGGTATAAAGTGCGGGGAGCCAGGGAGCTTAGGCTAGAGAGCCTGGGGTGTGTTCCTGAGTTATGCGGGTGGAGGGGCCGCTACCCCTTCTAGTGTAACCCTTGTTAAGGTTTAAAACAATAGTGCTGCTTCTATTCTGCCGTCTCCGTGTCCTGGAACCCACTACACAATAAACTACATAAATTTATTATAACACCAAAATCTAGAGCCATATTTTAGGCCACTGAATAGCAGTGGCAGCTAGGGTTGTACAACTCCTCTAGAGCAGTTTTGAGTGAAGATCTCATAGTTAGTGATTCAAGTTGCAGTTTATTGGCAATAGCATTCCAGACCCTAGGGGCATCAATAGCAAAGGCCCTTCCTCCAGTTTTTGTACGGCAATAGGGAATGTGAAGCTGGTAAATGAGCGAAGACCTGAGGTCAAATTTGTTCTTTGAAACAGAGAGGAGATCCAGTAGGTAGTCTGCGGAATTTTTTGTAAGTACATCGTGAATAAATAAGATCTGGTGCACAAGCCGTCGAACATTAAGAGATGTTAAGTTTGACCCAATGGAGAGATCACAGTGGTGAGTCTTATATGGGCAGTTCAATGCAAATCTTAAGGCCGAGTGATAGATGGAATCAAGCTTCTTCAGTACAGTACTTGGGGCTGATTTATACACGATGTCACAGTAGTCAAGTAGAGACAGTATGGTAGCTTTTATCAATTCCAAACGAAACATTGGGGGGAAGCAGTGCTTGTGTCGATACAGAAAACCAATTTTTATTTGTCTTTTTACCAATATAATCAATGTGATCTTCAAAACTAAGTTTTGAATCCAGGATGACCCCAAGATACTTATAGATCTTGACTTGCTCTATTTGATAATTATTCAAGGAATGTAATTGGGGAAAAATAACTTCCTGCTTTAGTCCCGGAGAGAAGCATAGCACCTTGGTTTTGGAGGTATTCAGGACTAGTTTAAGAGAAACTAGCTGATGTTGTAGTTTGTTGAAATCACCCTGGAGCTTAGCAATCACGTCATCCAGAGAGCGGCCAGCAGTAATCAGTATCGTGTCATCTGCAAAAAGATTTACCCTTGAATGATCCAGTTCAGTGCCCAAGTCATTGACATAAAGAGAGAACAAGAGGGGGCCGAGGATGGAACCCTGTGGAACCCCTTTTGTTATCTTAACACTGTTTGACCTCCAACCATCTGTGAATACAGTTTGGGTGCGAGAAAAGAGGTAATTTTTTAACCATTGTACTGTGTTCTCGGAAAAACCGAGGCAACTTAGTTTACTAAGCAGGGTGTTGTGGTCAACTGTATCAAAAGCTTTGGACAGGTCAAGAAAAAGACAGGTACAGTACTGCTTATTATCAAGGCTATTGTAAATTAGATTCAAAGAGTCTAATGCAGCAGATGTGGTGCTGTATTTTTTTCGGAACCCAGATTGTTTTAGATGTAGTAGATTGTTGGTGGACAGGAAACTGCTAATTTGGTAGTTCAATAATTTTTCAAAAATATTCATCAATGGAGACAAAATTGAAATAGGTCGGTAGTTATTGGGATCATCTTTAGGGCCACCTTTGTGAAGTGGACGGACATAGGAATGTGTCCATTCTAGAGGAACTGATGCTTCTTTGATGGACAGGTTGAAAATATGGGCTATAGGTTTGTATATTAGGTGACCAACAGTTAGTAGAGCAAAGACGGGAAAACTATCTGCTCCGGTAGAGGAGGACCCTTTGAGGTAGGACAGTTGTTTCAGAACATTACTTTCGTGGATTGGTTGGAAACTAAATTCGTTTAATGTTTGGACAGGGGTGTAGGAATTTGCAGGAGCAGGGGTGACTCCCAATACATTATCAAAAAGATTACCAGCTTCAGAAAAATGAAGGTTAAAATTGTCAACTATTTTTTGGGGATCTTAAAAATATTCCCCATTTCGGTGAAGCTCAACGGACAGATTTTCTGTTTTGGATGCCTTTTCAATAGATTTGATTGTTTTCCAAAAAATCCTGGTATTTCCATGTGATTCCAGGAGAGTGGAGAAAAAAATAGGCATTTTTTGCATGCCGTATTTTTTTTACGCATCTATTCCTTAAAATCCTGTATTCTAGCCAGTCATTTACCAAATTACTTTTCTGAGCACATGCCCAAGCCTTGTCCCTAGTTTTCATGAGCTTTGTAATCAAAGGATCATACCATGGTGGGCGGTTGCCTTTAGTTTTAAATCTAACCAACGGAGCATGTTTGTTAAGAATTTGGAGAAACGTGTACCTGAAAGTCTCCCAAGCCGTAGTCAGGTTGGGGATATCACAGACCTTATCAATATCCGAGTGAAGCACATCATTTGTAAATGCCTGAGTGCTGAAGTGCCTCAAAGAGTGCTTCTCAACAATTTTAGGGGGGGCTTTGGGTCTGGCTGATGATCTCACACCAAAAATGAAGGAGTGATCACTAAGGTTATTACCCAGAACACCAGTCAGTGCGAAATTGTGAGGGGCATTTGTCAATAGGACGTCAAGTAGAGTTTACTGTCCCGGATTTTTTAGGTTGGGTCTTGTGGGGACATTTATTAATTGAAACAAGTTAAATTCATCTGTAAAATTTGTGGCCACGGCCGGCGGGTTTAGCCAATTCCAATTTAGATCACCCACTAAAATTATTTCACCTTTAGGGAGGCCCCCAAAAAACTCTCTCAGTGCTGATGCAGCTTCAACATCCTTCCCACAAGGCAGTCTATAGCAGCACACTACCAATATCTGTTGATTATTTGGGAGAGTTATTCTGGGAGCCAGACCTTCAAAGCAACATTTTTTAAACAAGGAGTGAGCTGGTGAACATGCAATAGTGTTACGAACATAGATGGCAATTCCACCTCCTTTAGATCCTCGGTCAAGCCGAAAAAGGTTGTAGTTTTCAATCGTAATCTGCAAGTCATTGACGGCAGGAGTGAGAAATGTTTCTGTTAGGCAAAAAAAGTCCGGGTCAAGATTTGCCACTTCTAGTTTTAGTTGACTTAATTTAATCACAAGCCCTCTGATGTTGACATGTAGAACACCAACACCTTTCCTGCCAGAAAAATCTTCAGAATTATACGAGCTCTTTTCATTTGGGCCAGGATGAAGCTCAATACCACCCAGAAATAAGAAAAGTAGAATTAATAGTTTGCATAAGTATTTTCTGTGAAAGGAGAAAGAGCGGCGAACCTTGGACGAATAGCAGCAGCTCGCAGATGGTGTTATTTTTAAGAGCAGAATGAAGTTTGGAAGGAGTGCTGGTGAAGTAATAGGACAAAGATAGGGTTTAAAAGGATACAATGATGGAGTGTAGAAGTGTCTATGAGCTGTTTCATTTGCAGGTGTAGTGGCAAATCGAGCAACAAGTATTGATGCAAAATAACTAGGGTAGCCGTTTGTAGAGTTGAGTGTGGCACTAGACATGGCCGGGAGGGACAGCAGTAGGATACACAGCAGGAGAATTGCCATCTCTAAAATATCCGGGGTATACACAGATTTACACACAAGTGGAATAGAAAAATATATATACTTGTAGGCCGAGCGTGAGAAAAACGTCTTGCCGCACTCGTCACACATGCACGGCTTCTCGCCCATGTGTTAGGGTTGAACAGCGCCCACCCCCCTCTCCCAGACAGCAGATTCTTGGCTGTTGTAGGCTCGGCTGAACCGCTTGCACCGCCTCCTTTCCCCGCCGCAGGATGGTGCTCGAATTAGCCCTCCTTGAGCTCAGCCCACGACTGGAATGTCGTTTCTTGGCCTCTCGTGTCTCTGCTGCCCGTCCAGACGGCCCCACTGAAGCCCACACAGGGGACTCTTCATTCACAACCCTTGGCCGTCTCGAATGATCTCCGTGAAGTTGTCCAGGATGGAGCGCACGTCGTCCTTGAGCCGCTTGTTGAACGACTGCAGCAGCACCTCCTTGTTCTGGGGCAGCGCCCGCGACATCTCGGGGGAGTAGTGGACAGAAGCACGGCTCTCCCTCAGGGCAGCAGTGGACAGAGCACAACCCTGCCTCAGGGCAGCAGTGGAGAGAGAGTCTGGCTCCCTCACGGCAGCAGTGGAGATAGCGCGTCTCTCCCTCAAGCCAGTATTGGAGAGCACGGGGCTCCCTCCGGGCAGCAGTGGAGAGAGCACGACCCCACCCCAGGGCAGCAGTGGACAGAGCACGGCTCTGCCCCAGGGCAGCAGTGGACGGAGCACGGCTCTCCCTCAGGGCAGCAGTGGACGGAGCACGGCTCTCCCTCAGGGCAGCAGCCGAGAGAGCGCGGCTTTCCCTCAGGGCAGCAGTGGACGGAGCATGCACTAGGCCGCTACAGTAACTGGAAGCCTCACTCGGGCTGTGCCTTGTGCATGATTTACTAGGCCTCACTCAGGCTGGCCCAGGTACACGATTACCTAGGCCTCACTCAGGCAGTGTCCCGTGCACAATTTACTAGGCCTCACTCAGGCTGCGCCAGGTGCACGATCAGCTAGGTCTCACTCAGGCTGGCCCAGGTACACGATTAGCTAGGCCTCACTCAGGCAGTGTCACGTGCACAATTTACTAGGCCTCACTCAGGCTACGCCAGGTGCACGATCAGCTAAACACTAACCCTTAAAAGCCAACTCTTAAACGCCAACCCTTAAACACCAACCCTAGCAAACCGACCCTTAAACACCAACCCTTAAACACCAACCCTTAAACACCAACCCTTAAACACCAACCCTTAAACACCAACCCTTAAACAGCAACCCTTAAACACCAACCCTTAAACAGCAACCCTTAAACACCAACCCTTAAACACCAACCTTTAAACGCCAACCCTTAATCACCACCCGTTAAACACCAATCCTTAAACGCCAAGCCTTAAACACCAAGCCTTAAACACAAACCCTTAAACACCAACCCTTAAACGCAAACCCGTAAAAGCCAACCCATAAACGCCAACCCTTAAAAACAAACCCTTAAACACCAACCCTTAAAGGCCAACCCTTAAAGGCAAACCCTTAACACCAACCCTTAAAGGCCAACCCTTAAACACCAACCCTTAAACGCCATCCCTTAAACACCAAACCTTAAACAGCAGCCTTTAAACACCAACCCTTAAAGGCCAAACTTACACGCCACAACCTGGACGGTAGAGGGCATTCTTTACCTCACGCTTTCTCTCAAAAGTGGCGACCTCACACTGCTAGCGGGTCCTCGTCGTCGTCCTCCTCAACGTCGTTAATTGAGCAACAAAAATAAATTTGCAGGCGTCTGCACCCCCCTCACGAATTAAAAAAAATGGCGGTGGGTGAGGGGGAGGAGCCAAAACAAATTGGCGGGAAAACAAAAAAACTTCGCGTCACGTGGGAAGGGAGACGCCAAATCCGATTGGCTCCGAGGTGGGAGCGACTTTGAGGAAAACTTTTTTACAGTAAGAAATTACAAAACTCAACATCGACAATAAAACTCGCGTTGGCATTCGCGCCGGTGTAAATAAATGTAAAAAAAAAGTTGTATTGTTGACGTACCATATTTAAATCAAATGTTTTTGACTCGAACGCGATTCCGTTGTTTCGATTCCTTCTCAGTCCTGAATCGTGTCGAGCTATGATGACGAAACGCGAATCGTGGTCCGCGGTTGCTGAGCCAATGGGAGCGCAACGCTGCTGAAGGCAGCGTCCAATAGGAGAAGGCGATGGTGGGAGGTGGCCGGGTGCCGCTTGGACCAATCAGTGAGCAGGCCGTTCAATGTTTCCCGCTCTTTCGGGTTTTTTTTTAAAATCACAAAACAATATTTAAACCCCGGGGTAAAAGTTATCGAGAGCATTGTTTTAATAATTGTGTAGTCGGCAAAGTTTGCACGTAAATTATATTTAAACAGAGGAGCAGTAACAATAATATAACTCCACCAATATTATCCCAATGGTAATCGATTCCATCAGCTATAATCACTACCACCATCTCGATTCCCGCTTTATCCCCCCCCATTGAAAATCCATTCCACGAGCTCCATTCACCAATAATCTATTCCCATGTTATCAACAACGGGAATCGACTCCATCTAAAACGTCGGAAGCCGCAACGGGAATCGACTCCATCTGAACGTTGGAAGCCGCAACGGGAATCGACTCCATCTGAACGGCGGAAGCCGCAACGGGAATCGACTCCATCTGAACGTCGAAAACCGCAACGGGAATCGACTCCATCTGAACGTCGGAAGCCGCAACGGGAATCGACTCCATGTTATTTTTTTAACAATAATGGCTAAGAGTGTTATTCTATTACAACATTGCTCTGTTTTTTTCTTCATAACCACAATCATATAAACAGAAATCTATGCATTGTTACATGAAGACAAGTCCACATATTGTGGCCAAGGTTTAGAAAATTATTTGTATTTACATAGCACAGCAATTATTATTTTTGTTTAAATATTTTTAATAGAAATATATTGGGGGGGGGGGGCATTTTGAGCAAGATTTTTTTGGGGGAAATCTTTTTTTATTCTTCTACAAGCCGCCACAACTTTGCCAGCTCTTACAATGAACAATACTTCAATGGTACGCGTTGAAACTTAAGCCTAAGGTGTTTCTCCCCTCTGAGAAACACTTTCAAGGTCCCTCGTCATTTCAATATATCGTTGATACAGAATAAATAAACTCCGCCCATCTCATTCCACCAATGGATGAAGGCTTCCCCAACTCCATGGCGGTAATGGAGAGGTTGTTTGACCATACTTCACCACTGCGGGTCATGTACAAAGCTTCATTTCAGCCAGATCTGTCCCCAAGTCGGCTGGGCACGCTGCATCCGCCACTCTTGTCACCCACAGCTGTGACCACGAGCCACGAGCCTACTCCAGTCCACCAGAGACACGGAGAATATTCTTCAGCGTGATGCTCTTTGGTCCTTTCAGGTTAAAAGTCATGACGTGGTAGGTACAAAATAAAATAAATCACGACGTTTCGGGCGCAACACAAGCTAAATTTTGATTTAAAGCTTTCGTGACTGCAGTAATTTATATTCAATATATAAAAAATATATAAAACGTCGTGAGAATTTTTATTGTTTTATATATTTATTATTTTATTGTTTCCCTTCAACGAGACTTTACCGAAAGAGCTAAGAATATAAGGGACAAGTCCTTAGTAACAACTCCTTACGAACAACTCCCTACTTACTAACAACTCCCTACTAACAACTCCTTACGTACTAACAACTCCCTACTTACTAACAACTCCCTACTAACAACTCCTTACTTACTAACAACTCTTATCATTTTTCATTGCTGAAGGGGTTGCCCCTCCTACCTGAAAATCCTGGCTCCACCTCTGAGTGTGTGACAGGGTCAAGTTTGTATTTACAGTAAAGTCTAACTCTATTGAGCACGGAGGTTATATAAAAACAGTAGTTTATTTTTGTTTTCCTCTGCTACTCTTTCTAAGAATGTAGTCAGGAAGTTATCACAGCACACGTGCAGCTGAAGTCGGAACTGTTCATCCCAGCATTCAAGGACATCTGTGCCTGGCTTCACACCTCTGAGTTGCGATTGAACATTAATTTATGCATTTCTGCATAACACAAATAGTATTATTTTCAACACCCTTTCCTATGTCACCTGAATTTAGCTTTCATAAATATTCATTTTGAAGCCAGACAGCCGAAATTGTGTGCTCGGAGTTTTGGGTTAACATTCATTTTGAAGATACGAGCGCTTCCAGGCACGTTTATGACATTTGCCCTCATTGCATGCCATAACAGCTCGTGTGATGAATTTGGGACACTTTTTCACTATAACATGAATATATGAATAAGTATAGACGTGTTAGTCACGTGTGACTGTATATATGCATTCCTCTGTGCATCGAAACTGATGTGTAGATGGTGTGGATATTCTTTTTTTCTCTCTGCAGCTGTCGCTTCCTCTGCAGAATTTGTCTGATGGAGCAAAGGCACTCGGTGCAGCTCGGTGCAAAAAGGCATCAATGCGACCGGTGTCCATACAGCACGGATCGTACTGAACATTTGACATTGCACCAGAGAACTCACACAGGGGAGTGTTGTATACGGCCCTTTTTCCACAATTAATATCCATAAGAATATTTACGGATGCATACACCTAGATTTCTTTTTCCTTTCTTTCGTGACAAACAATATATATATTTTTTTAATGAATCAAACCCGTAAGCCAGAAACACGAAAAACCAGATGTCGGTCATAAACAGGCCATATATATAAAGAAATAATAAAACTCTCAAGGCGAGGATGTAACAGCTATCGGCGAAAATCTCCAGATGAACAAGAGTTTGATGGGCCCCTTAGGAAAGGTCCCTCCGAGGTCAAAACACCAAGAGAGCAGACACGGAGACGCCAACAGGGTAAATCATATACATATTCTTTTCCTTATTTGCCAGTAAAACAACAAAAAAATTAAAAGGCAACAACAAGAATAAGATAAAATTAGCGATCCTAACGCTCACTCCAATTAAGAACAGGCCACCAGACACATCAGTAAATTATTATCCAATGATTAATTCGCTATCAAATTATTTTCACCTTTAATACTTTTACTGTTAAAACAAAGCTTGGAGCAGGAATACCGAGTCACATCAAAGGTTATCGAGAAGGAATGAGACAACGGGCAAACTTGCGAAAGAGTTTAAACAATATCCCAAGCAACCCCGACCACCTTTGTCTCTCTCACAGCGCGGAGAAGCAGGAATTACACCTTATCACAAGGGGCCATCTGGAAAAGCCAGCCGGGTTTGATGAGGAGACACACCCCACCCCACACACGGCAACCAGGCAAACAAGTTTTAAAGAAATTGCAATATAACATTAATAATAACGTGTTAACCTTAAACGATATTCCATTATAAAACCTTACAGAACCAAGGGATATGGATTCCAACAATCAAGAAACGGACCTCTTAAACTCAGAATGAAAATTATTTTTCTTTTTAATAATTCCATCATAACAATGCGAACCTCGGTAAACCGAGAGGTGTCGG